GTGGGACACTCTTGTAGGACACTCTTGTGGGACACTCTTGTAGGACACTCTTGTGGGACACTCATATAGGCCACTGTTGTGGAAAACTCTTGTGGGACAATCTTGTAGGACACTCTTGTGGGTCACTCTTGTAGGAAACTCTTGCGGGGCACTGTTTCGGGACACTCTTGTAGGACACTCTTGCGGGACACTCTTCTGGGACACTCTTGTGGGACACTCTTGTAGGACACTCTTGTAGGAAACTCTTGGGGGGGGACTGTTTTGGGACACTCTTGCGGGACACTCATTTGGGACACTCCTGTGGGACACTCTTGTAGGACACTCTTGTGGGCCACTCTTACGGGGCACTCTTGTGGGACACTCTTGTGGGACACTCTTGTGGGGCACTCTTGTGTGTCACTCTTATGGGACACTCTCTTGCGAGACACTCTTGTGGGTCACTCTTACACGACACTCTTGTAGGACACTCTTTGTGGGACACTCTCAAAAGCACTCTTGTGGGTCACTCTTATGGGACACTCTTGTCGGTCATTCTTGTGGGACAGTCTTGTGACACACTCTTGTAGGACACTCTTGTGGGTCACTCTTACAGGACACTCTTGTGGGACACTCTTGTAGGACACTCTTGTAGGACACTCTTGTGGGACACTCTTGTGGGACACTCTTGTGTGACACTCTTGTAGGAAACTCTTGTGGGACACTCTTGTAGGACACTCTTGTGGGGCACTCCTATAGGACACTCTTGTGGGACACTCTTAAGGGACACTCTTGTGAGACACTCTTGTGGGACACGGTTGCGGGACACTCTTGTGGAACACTCTTGTGGGACACTCTTGTGGGACACTCGTGTCGCGACACGGTCTGCCCACACACTAGAAGCAGTCACGCGAGCGTTTCGTACGAGACTTCCTCCAAAAGTCACGCTTCGAGGCTGCAAGACGAGCGTTTCGTACGAGACTTCCTCCTAAAGTCATGCGTCAAGTCTCCAAAACGGAGCGTTTCGTACGAGACCTCCTCCAAAGTCACACGTCAAGTCTCCAAAACGAGCGTTTCGTACGAGACTTCCTCCAAAAGTCACGTGTCAACTCTCCAAAACGAGCGTTTCGTACGAGACTTCCTCAAAAACTCACGTGTCAAAGTCTCCAAAACGAGCGTTTCGTACGAGACTTCCTCCAAAAGTCAAGCGGAAACACCCATCGGAGCACACACATCACGCAGCCCTGCCAAGCAGTTTCGCGATTCCAGCCCCTCCAAACAACACCCGCTCACACGCCAATCCCAATGAGACAACGACAGTCACCTCTACCACAACTCACAACCTCACAATTCCCTGCGCCTGCCACGCATCTTTCCGCGTCCACACGTCTAACGCGCACAAAGTACTGCGCCTGCCTTGCAACGTCACCTCCGTCACACCTCGCAACCTCACGATTCCCTGCGCCTGCCACGAAAATCACACTTCCATGCCTCAAAACCGGCACAAAGTACTGCGCCTGCCGCGAAAAGTGACAATATCATCTCATGTGAGCTTCAACAAAATTTGCACCACACCACACGTTTGGAATGATTTCGATCCGTTCTGAGCACACTCCCATCCACCAAAATCGCCATTTCAGCTGAGACTTGTCACGAAAACAGAGCTTCGATGCCACACCCTGAAACGCAAATCCCAATGGCACGGCCACATCCAACACCCCAAAAACACGACTCTCCAAATGCTAATCCCAATGGAACTGCGTAGCAAACTGAGGATCTCACAAAACGCTGCGCCTGTGCAGCGAAATGCATCACGCTTCTTGCGCGACATGTCATTTTCATGCAAATCACAATGGAATAGCGTCGCAAACTGACACGTGACACATCCATGAAAAGTCACTTGCAAAAGCTTCCCCCAATGGCAGCGCCTTAGCGCTCTACTGCGGACGGTTGCCAACGGTTGCGAACATAGAAGCAACGGGTCGCGAACAAAGCTCTACCCCCAGACCCCCAAGAGTTAAACGAGAACCCTTCGCTACGCATTCGGGAAAAAAATGGGAAGCTCTCTCCACCTCCCACCATCTGAGGAATACAGTCTGCTAGAGCCACCTCTAAACCAGAGTATTCGTTCTGTTTCTTGTGTTTGGAGAGCTCTACCAAAAAGTACGGTTCCAAAAAGTACGGTGTACATGGGAGTTCACAGTGCGGACCCACCAGAAGAAGACAGTTTTGGGGAGTAATCGATTGAACATATGAACATATGATAACATATGTAGAAAACAAAGGTCGGAGTTGGAAAACAACAAACACATGCAGAAACCATAGTGACATGCTGCAATGATGGTGACCCCAACCCACCCCAGTCTGGAACAAAAAATACACTGCAAAATTGCTTGAATAATCAGTATGTACATTCGCAACAGTTTACAAACTTCAATGTATGGATACTGCAAGGTTCGCATCTTTTGGAGGTCAACTGTATTCTTGTTCGTTTTTAACTATTGATAATGAACACGGTCGCAGAAACAAACGAACATAATATATATATATGATTATATATGTTTTTTCTTTTTAATAGAGCAACATACAGAAGACATTCTGGGGAAGCTTCTTCAAATCATCAGATTTGCCTGCATGTGCAAACGTCTTCGATGATCTTGAGCCGTGTTGCCTTGGCGTTCCACCCCAAAGCAAGATAGGAACTGCCTCAGTCAGCAGCGAACATAAGTCAATGTAGGTGTAGTACCTTCCATACTTGGATTGTTTGAGATCCAAATATATCCAAAATCTCTATATATATATAGATGTTAGATACTTATATATCATCTTATTTTCCTGGCACTTCGTCACTGGAGTCTGGGTTCCCTGGGTTCCCTGGGAGGCGGATCTGGTTCGATTGGATGGGAGGCGGAGATACTGGGGAACATCAAAAGTCAGGGCCAGGGTACTAAAAAAACACACACAACACAAATTAAACCAAACTCAGCCAGAACTGCAGGTGGTGTGATTGATATATAGACTTCATGAGCTGATTCACCAGCACTCTGCCTCAAGCTATAACAAGTATATGCAAAAAAACTTCTGTATCTTCTCTCCGCAAAAAATTGCTTGCTGCTTTACAGCACAGAGCACAAACATGCCCTCCGCACCTCTGAACAACACACCAGAGATGCTCATCCCACACAGCGGCCCCGCTGGGCTCATGCAACGGGCCGTGGGGTCGGATCGTCACCGCCCGGAACGCTGGGACGTCACGGGGACTGCGGGGACCAAACGAGCCTGGCCTGGCCCCGGGCCTGTGCGAAAACCTGCGGACCCATTGAATGGAGCTTCTTCTGTTAGGATGTTTGAAACATGAGTGTTGGCATGTGCTGGGCCAATTGCTTCAACGACGGGACCACGATTTTGAGGCCACCACATGTATTACTCGCGGACACGTGTGGCAAAGGCATAGCTGAATGCGGCAGTGCAGCAGAATGACGAGGCCAACAAAGTGCATCGCAGAGAAATGGGGACAACATGCCCACACGCTGGGCATAACTTGCGCCTGAGGTGTTACAACGATTCACGCTTTTCGACGAGAATGCAATCAGATTTCTCATTGGTGGAGTGTTGGGAGGATATATACTGGCTGCACTTCCTTCACAACAATTCCAGGTGCTGCTCGCTTTTGATTACCAGGGGATACCAAGTGCTTTTGGCGCTTCAACTGAAGGAAGGCCTGGACAAAAATGAGGACACGAGCTTCTGGTCAAGAAGAAAAGACAGTCTATATGTATATATGTCACATGTCTCAAGTCAAAAGGACACCGGCAAAAAAAACAACGAAAACAACAACATAAACGAAACACCATTTCTTATGTTGGCACTCGCCGGGTTTATCCTTATTCACACCTGAAGATCCGTGGTGTCCGATGTTGCGGAGCTGATGTTGCCAATCGCTCCGGTGATCTTCCCGGTCCACGCCGTCCACGCAACGTGCCAGGTCCTCTGTGAAAGAGGACTCTCCCACTTCGCCATGTAAGGACTCTACACGAGAGCGGCAACGCGAGCAGGGAGGAGTGTGAGGAGATGGAATCTTCGTCCTTCTCCAAGACCTGGGCTCCAGCGCTTTGCTGCATGTGCTGGGCTCCAGCGCACAGCGAAGTGTGCTGGTCAACAGGCCGAAGATCCAGCACTTCGCTGTGTGCTGGGTCCATCTCAGCAAGAGGCCATCGCGATTATTGGTGCAACGTGTCGCAAACCAGCAGGATCGACCCAGCTTCGGGCCAGCTTTTTGGCTCAAGGACCACAAAGCCACCGAGGAGAGGATTTCCCGTCTCACCGCTTTTTAAGCCGTCGCGGTGTCGGGCGGTGTCGGGCGGTATCATGCGGTGTCCTTGCAAGGTGAAGCTGTGTGGAACAACTCACAGTTGCTAAGGACGCTACGAACGTAGCTTCTGGCCTTACCACTAGGAACATACGAAGGCTACGAACTGAACACAGGGCATCGCGACTCGAACGGAGCGATCGGACGCTACTACATAGCCCACTTCACCATGTTCACGCAGCGGGGAGCTCGGCCCGGACACGCACCTCTCTCTCTCTCTCCCTCTCTCCCCCTCTCCCTCCCATTCACTCTACTCTCACTCACTCACTCACTCACTCACAGGATGGTCTTGTCACCACCGCCAGCTCAAATAGTATGTTTCTTATAGGAATCCGACTTGGGGGGAATCACCTTCGATCAAATTGGCCCAAAAACACCAAGGACTCAGGACCGCCCCCGGAACGGTCCGCGGACCCTTCACCGTCCTGACGACTGAGTCCAGCACAGATGCCTCCTCCTCCAGACCTGCGAGGCGACGCGAAAACGCGTCGAAAAGACCACGACGGTTTCATGGGCAATGGCCCATGCAACACCTACCTGGATCTTCCAACTATGCCAAATTTCTGCCTTTTGGCTGATTTTTTGGATGAAAAGGCAGAAATTGGTAACAGTTGGAAGATCCAGGTATGATCCATGATGTTAATGATATATTATATGATCCATAAGTGTGCAGCAAACCCATAGTAAACTCAGATTTACATTTACACACCCACCATCCATGTATGTACGCTGCAGGCATATATGTAGATTTAACATATCACAAATAGAGTGTAATTATGGGAATTGGGTGCGCCAAACACTTTTCCAGTTGATCAGTGTCGTAAGTCCACCAAGTAGGCTAAGCACAATTACCCCAGGATCGACCACAAACAGCAACGGAAGCAAAGGGGACAAAGGAAGACAAAGTAGAACCATCTCGAGCCATGGGAGTCAGAGCGAAACAAAGCAGAATCATCTTCGCCAGAAGAGCCATGAAACACCAAAAGGGTGCCACAACAAAAAGAGAACGTACCTGGACCCTCCCACCCTCGGGGTGTCCTGGCTGGACTACCCCACACTACCGGCCGTTCGGCTTCCAAACAGGGCACCCCACGGTGTCGGGTCCTGGCAGAATCATCTCAGCCCAGCACCCGAGCAAAACGGTCTCCGAAACGTTCCGGCCGTTCCCAGAACGGCCAACAAGTTCGCCCAGGGCGCAAACAGCATCAACGGCAAGAGCCATGGGACACAACCCAGGGGTAGACGGAGTGGTGTTTGGTCCCATCCAGTGAGTGGATGTGACAGGGGCACCCCGACTTCCTCCAAGTTCGGCACCCCGTCTTGTGACCCCTAGAATGCAACGCATTGATCTCACCCCAGCATCCATGATCGCACCGCTGATCGACTTCGTCTGCAACAAGCTCACCACTCAACTTCGGGTTGCGCCACCATTGGTTGAGCCAGCGGGGAGGAGGAAGTGGCACCACCATTGGTTGGCCGCCTGTTGTCTGCACATGTGTTCGTTATATCCTTGTCCTGGTCCTCGGATCACAGCAGTCTCTCTGCTCCTGTCGTTTTCAATCTTCGACAAGAAAAAGCGGCCGAACGGCCGAAGGCCTTCAGATCCAGACGATCTGCGAGACAGTCTTCCATGCGCCGACCGGTCATGTGTCCTCGTGGTCCTTGGGTGACATGGAAGACAAGGATGCCGAGGAAAGACCGACTGAATGACTGGACGTCCGTGACACATAGCCCAGACACTCCATGTATGCCATATATGCTTATATACATTAAAGTGGTTTTGGGGGTCAATGTAGGCATATACCATACATGGATATACATTGGAGTATATGGGTAGTCTTCATCTATCACTGGGCAGGTCCCGCCGGAACCCACCGTCCGGCGGCACCGTGGAGCTTCTCAACGGCCGTTCCGGGCTGCGCAGGGAATCGTGCTCCAAACGAGCTCGAGCCACTCTCTACCTGGACCCTCCGACCCTCGGGGTGTCCTGGCTGGACTACCCCACACCTACCGGCCGTTCGGCTTCCAAACAGGGGCACCCCACGGTGTCGGGTGGTAGAAACGACCGTGCCATGCTGAACCCCCCAAAACATCGGCATCAATCGCCGCCTGCGGCAGTTAATCTGGCCTATCCCCCGTGTTCGCGCAAGAACTGGCTAGCACGACAAATAGGTTGGGGGTACGGTATGGACTAAACCCAAACCATACTATGGCATAGTTGCATTAGGGCCAATAGATGGGGGCAATGTGTATAATAAGTAGTTGAGTTACTTAACAAATTAAGCTTTAACTATTCCACACATGGATGGTGAAAAGGCTCTTTTTCAAGGACATGTTGGACGCTGTCGGACAAGGGACATTCCGTCCCAGGTCACACATGCCGAGCGTCCAAATCTGTTAGTAAAAGGCTTAAACTTTAAACACCTCCGAGATCGTGTGCACCATCTGGTCGCGTCTGCCAATTTCAGGTGACCCCTACTTTCCAAAATTGGGTCATGAGTCATGAGCATCTATCTACTTGGCCAGGGAGTTCAATACGTTCAATTGTGAGGTCTTCTTAGAACAATTCAAACCACACCGGTGTCGACACTATCGCCGAGAACCTGCCTCCGCAGTAAAAGCTGTTGAGCACTGCATTGTAGCGATGCACGCAGCCCGAATGGCCTGAGCCGTCAGCCGAGGCCCGGACTTGGGGCACCTGATCCAAAACGGCAGTACGTAAGGGGTTACTTGCCTGCCATCTACCGCTCTTCTGCGCACGAATTGCTCAGCCCAAGTACACTTATGGAACATTTTGGGGACTGCTTCTTGTGTGGGTCAAGTGCAGGTGCTTGAGCAGAAAAAATGGCGGTCTGCACGTACGTTGCTACGTTTGCACTACCTCTCCCTCAAAAAACCGAATGACCAAACTAAACACCCCCCCCCCCCCCCCCCCCACCAGCCCCGCCGAAAACGCCCCGCCCAAAAACGGCTCCAACGATCGCAGCTTGGACCGAGGTCCAAGGCTGAAGAAGATCTCGGGACGACCATGCCCCCTGCCGGCGAGAGGTCTCGTCGTGCGGGGAGAGATTGGAAGACGCGAGAGGACTTCGGGTTCCGCGGGTTCTGCATCGGTCGGATGCGAAATCGAAGGGGAAGGTCAGAAAGGAAATGGAAGCTCTTTATACCAGGACCCTCCAAGAGGTGCCCAATGGAAGCCTATAGGTAGTGTGGGGTGGTCCATTGGACACCCCTTGGAGGGTTCTGGTAGTAGTATAAGTCAGTTTTCAGCATACCAAAGCCATTCAAGCAATCGCAATTGATGAGATATGATGGGATTTATCAGAAACTTTGGAACTTAAAGCACCCGTGCCATCGGCCGTTGGATGCAGCCTTTTCCAGTAAGTGAGAAGAGTCGAGTAGAGTCTAGCTCGCGTGGCGTGTCCAGCATCCGGAAGCAACTTCATGCAAACTGCTTGCCCATTTTTGAAGCACCTGCCAGCACCCCTACAGGAAGCACCGTCTGATTCTGTGGGATGCCAAAAGAACACTTGTTTCGAGTCTTCACCATGCTCCAAGCATCCAGTCTTGTTCGGGAAAATCAACGACACAGTACCAGGACCACGGAGTTCATGTGGTTTATAGACAACACTGACGTCATGTATCTTGTGGTCCTGGTTGCAGTGCATGGTTTGATTTCTGGCACTGACACTGAAAAGATGGTGGTCCACATGAACCACGATGTCCGGGGTAACTTATGCCATCGAAGCTCTGAAACTGAGCTGTAAAGTTTCAACAACACTCTTTTTCACCGAGTCCCGAGTCGAGTTGGAATGTGGTCCTCTCCATTCGAACGGCCCAAACTGAAGCCGTCTGAACGAGCCAAACCAGGTGACATCACCCGCACCATTCCCGGCGTAGCACTTGGCTTATAACAAGTACAGCCCCCCAAGTGCCCCAAACACCGTGGACACTGAGCCTGTAAAGAAAACGATCGTTCGAGTCTATCAACGAGCCCGACCCTTCGGTGAAACGAGCCACGCAGCCGTCTGTGCAAAACCAGCGGCTCCGACCCGGTAGGGGGGCGCCCAAACGCCCAACACGAGCCGTCTGGGACTGCCGGAACGTGGCACGGCCGAACTGCCGGGTGGTTGGTTGGTTGAAAAGGGGTGAATGGGGCGGTAGATATGCCAGTGCCATGGAGTGTTGGGGTATGCCAATCCTGGGTTCCCTGGAAAATAGAGGTTAAGGACACCAATCCCCTAAAAAGGACTAAAGGCTATACTCAATGACTTGGTACCAGTACAGTAGGCATCTATTGACACACCTCTCTGTCCTCCGATTCAAGAACACATGCTATTCCCCAAACACTCCATGCATGCCATATATGCCTAGTTCTATTTACCGTTCCATCTCTCTTTTGCTCCCAACTGCACCACTGGGTGTCCCGGCTCGCAGGAGACCACGCGATCAGGGTCCACGGTCCGTTCCTGACGACACGGTCCGTCTTCTACAGTGGTTGATGTGATAATTGTATTAGTTTTGAAAAACAACACATAGGATTTTGAGGGCCCGGACCCCTGTGAAGGTGTCGGGTCCGACCCCTGCCATGGAGAGCCCAAGGATTCTTAGGGTATATTTCAAGGTGATACCATTTTCATGTGTTAAAAAGAAGAAACACATCTAATCAGTATGCTGTTGCATGTTTATACACGATCCTTGGAATTCTATGCTAACACTGAAATACTGATGATCCTCCGACATACCTGGATCTTGACAAAAACATACCGAACTAGATGGAGTTGTTGTGTGCGTTTTCATCCATCAAGGAGAACAACAAAAAACACACCAAATTCGTTGCGCAAAGGAACACCTTTGAAGACCCTGATTTGTGAACGATTCCCTGCAAACTCTCCCATCCCCTCAAAGGTTGTCCCTACTGAAAGAACTGAGAACAGCTTGTTATCTTATATATATATAGTTTGGGGCCACTCTGCTATGCTGAGTGCCCATCTCGGACTCGACCCGAAGCGTGCAGCGTGCGCATATATCTCCGTCTTCACGATGTTTGGGGTGACCAACAGCGGTACTCGTGAGCGTCACTCTGCTATGCGGTCGTCCCGGGGTGTTCGATGCTGCACTCTGTGTTTGTTCTGATGAAGACATCACCTCCAGAGGACGTTGTCATGTCAAGGTGTCAAGAGTTCGGGAGATGGGTCACTCACGAACCGGAAAAGGCAACAAAGGGATTTGTCGACCACATTTGTTGCCTCTGGTTGCCCGTGCATTTGGGCCGGCTGGCCTTTTTGGCAACTGATTGACATGCGAGGACATTGAGGGATTGTTGCACACACTTGTTTTGACATACAGATTCATATACAGTAATTAACCATCAGGAACTCCAAACTCTCAAACTTACTAGAAAGTACCTCCAAAAGCCTTCTGTAAGGGATTCTAAGGGATTCATCATTCCTTGTGTAAGGGATTCTAAGGTCCTACGACACCCCAGCCTTCCCCACAGCAGGGTGGTAGTCGAACAGCAGCACCGCTGGGCGACCCTCAAAGGCAGACCTAGCTCGCGAGGTCGCCGAGGTCACGAGCGTCGGATATTGAAGCTGCACGTGCACGAGCGTCCGATTGTTCAACATTAATTCAGCAGGAAAAGTAAATCAATTGAATTCAGCTGAACGAATGCTGCAACCATTGAGCGGAAAAGACTGAGTTTTTCGGCAGGTTCTCTGTCAATTTGATTCTTCTCAACAAATGGACCAAATCGGTGGCGCAAAATAATCAAAATACTATCTCGATGGCCTCCACACCCCTGGGTAAGATGATTGTTTGATTAAAACCTTGTTTCGGGATGGTGTTTGAGATGGTTCGAGGACATTGAAACTGAACCATATTGAAACCAAACACTTTTCCACCCAAACACTCGTCTCATCTCACCACATCGACATGTTAATGTCGCAAACACTCTGGTCGGTAAGACACGGAAAGACTGGAAGACTGTGACACACAACATGAAGAGCATGCAAATGAATGACACACAACAGGCATGGAGATCGAAATTCCGCGGCTTGACAGGGTGCATCCTCCTTCACCCCAACTGATCCACTTGTGTAGGTGGTGAAACCAATTCCCCCCAAAAGGGTCAACGACTGTTCACTGACTGGGTAGCGGAACGTTTCCTCGATTGGAAAAAAGGAACGCCCCAAGATGAATGGAGTATGCCTGTCCAAATTGGGGATGATATTAATATGTATATATGACAATTTACTATAATAGCTAATCAAATTGGAAATACATGTTCCCAACATATACTCAAATTCAGTGCAACAAAAGTGGTCCGTTGCTCCCCATTGAACACGAATCTTCCTGAGGGCTATTCGTTGCTCCAGGCAAACGACGACATGGATCTTCCAGCAACCGACCAGCTGCGTTCATCGCAAGCACATGCAAGCACATAAGAACCAAGCACTCACCAAACGACGGTCACCTCGCGTCACGCGTTTGTGCGGCAACGCCCAAGGCAAAGCCGGCTCTCCCACGAGCTTGAAAAAAACATCGTAGTCACAGTCTTGGGAATGCCTTTCTTCCCAAAAGAGCAAACAAAACCACCACAGGAGGCATGAGTTGTACATGCCAGCGCCGGCATGAACCACGGATTTGTTCGGCCAAATCGATCCCGATGCCGATTCCTGGTCTGCGGTAAGAGAAGACATGTAGCAGAAGACTTGTGCGGAAGTCTTGAAACGCGCGAAATCAAAAGAGGACTTGTCAGAACCCCAAAGTCTCCAAAAGTCTGTCAAAGTGGACTTTTTAAGTCGAGAATCTCACAAGTCCCGATCATCGGAGCTAAGTTGCTTGGTCTATGACTCCCAAACACTTGGTCTACCAGTGGCTGATGTCTTCGACAAACACGCCACCCATGCGATGCCCTTCGAGACTCAACTGGCCATCCACGGCTGGGCCACTGGCGGCTACCAACCGCTGTTACATGCTGTTACAGGGGCGTGGATCGTGTGGGTGTCCTCCGGCCTGCGTACTCCAGGGTGTCCTAGACTCTTCTCCAGTCCCCAACTCCAACAGCAAACCCGCCAGCTGCATCTCTCCCCCTCAGGCTGTCAAGGCCCCGGGCAAAAGCAGCTTGATGGGAGGTCGACCTGCAAACGCAGTCACCATTCCTCATGGCTCCCACGGCCCCACCACTCGACAGGTCGAGCATGGTTGATCTGATCGATCAGGCCAGGGGTGGTGGATGGGTCCAAAACGTACGCGGCACTCAATGTATTTCAGTACCACAGCCCAAGGGACCCATGGATTCCTTCTTTTTTGGGATGGAGGCGACCTAGCAAGGAGGGCCAACACGGAAACGTCGAGCTCAAGGACGGGAAAGAGGATTGGAAAGACAGGAGAGACGAGTGGAACTGGGAGAAAGGCCAAGGCCTGACCAAGGGCAAATCAAAAAGGAACAGAGGGGGAAAAGGCAAAAACCAGGGCAAACCTTTGGACACAGCTTCCTCACAAACTCTTTTTGGACATCGATAATCCGGATCCTTCCTTCGGGCTCAATGGACGTTTAATTGGCGAAAATGGACAGAATGTGAAGCACATCCAGGACATCACCGGAGTCACCGTGCACCTTGGTGGACAAGGTAGCGGTGATCGAGCCACCGAACACGAACAACTGCATGTTCTCTTGCGCAGTGGAGATGCAGCGAGTTTGGAAGAGGCCATACGTATCACCAACGATCTCCTCGACACGGTTCTGGAGCAGTACACTGCGTGGCAAGGTGGGCGTGCACAAGGCCAAGAGAGCCTGAAGCCGCAGAAGGGCCCAGGCAAATCTGGAGATGGCCATAAAGGTTTGGCAAATTCAAAGGAAATGCGAGGCGGGGGCACTTTGCTGCTCGCAGCTGGAATCAGAAAGGAGGCTATGCCCACTATCCGGATGAACCAGCAAACAAAAGATCCAGGGCACATTGAAGTTGTCGAGTTGCCGAGCATCCTTGTGAGAATGTACACATATTGCAACATGTCCAGCACCAGATCTGGCTGCCCATGGCGCCTTTTTCTTTTGGGGCACCCGACGATGTCAGACCACTGGTCACAGGTGCCCAGCTGTCAACAAAGCACATAGCGTTGAGGAAAAAAAAAGGAACCCTTACCTTCTTCCGTTTTTTTAAATCTCTTGTTGCCGCTTTGCCTTGCTGTGAGAAACGGAACACTTCCCAGGCAGTGAAGGGCTACGATCCTGCATTCGGCTATGAGATGGCTGCCATTATCGAGAATGATACTTGCGACTGTCTGAACGCGCACCCCAGGTCCTTCTGCTCTGCAGGGTGCCCGGGGCATGTGGTAAGTGACCCTTCACAAAGAGATGGAACTGCTCTACCGCGCCTTGTCTCCCTTCTGTCTGCTTTTGTCTCCCTTCTTGTTGGTCACTGTGTCCGCCTTGTCTCCCTTTGTCTCCGCCTTCCGTCCAGCGTCTCGCTTTGTCTCCCTTCGTGTTGGTCTCCCTTCTTGTTGGTCGTTGTGTCCGCCTTGTCTTTGTCTCCGGTCTTGTCTCCCTTCTTGTTGTTGTTGGGCACTGTGTCCGCCTTGTCTCCCTTCTGTTTCCACTTGCCTTGCCTTTTTGTCTCCGTTCTGTTGGTCATTGTGTCCGCCTTGTCTCCCTTCTGTCTGCCTTGTCTCCGGTCTTGTCTCCCTTCTGTTTCCTTGTGTCTCCCTTCTTGTCTCCCTTCTTGTTGGTCATTTTGTCCGTCTTGTCTCCCTTCTGTTTCCTTTTGTCCCCTTCTTGTTGGTCACTTTAGGGTCCCTTCTTGTCTCCCTTCTGTCTCCGGTCTTGCTTGTCTCCCTTCTGTCAACTTTGTCTCCCTTCTTGTTGGTCATTGTGTCCGCCTTGTCTTCCTTCTTGTCTCCTTTTGTCTCCCTTCTTGTTGGTCGTTGTGTCCGCCTTGTCTTCCTTCTGTCTCCCTTTGTCTCCGGTCTTGTCTCCCTTCGTCTGCCTTGTCTCCCTTCTGTTTCCATTTGCCTCCCTTCTTGTTGGTCATTGTGTCCGCCTTGTCTCCCTTCTTGTTGGTCATTGTGTCCGTCTTGCACACTCACTCTCACTCTCACCCACACTCACTCACACCCACCTTCATTCTCACTCACACTCACTCTCACTCTCACTCACCCTCACCCTCACCCACATTTACTTACACTCGCTCACACTCACTCACACTCACTCTCACTCTCACTCTCACTCCCACTCTCACTCTCACTCTCACTCTCACTCTCTCACTCTCACTCTCACTCTCTCACTCTCACTCTCACTCTCACTCTCACTCTCACTCCCACTCTCACTCTCACTCTCACTCTCACTCTCTCACTCTCACTCTCACTCTCACTCTCACTCTCACTCTCTCACTCTCACTCTCACTCTCACTCTCACTCACACTCACACTCTCACTCACACTCACACTCACACTCACACTCACACACTCACTCACTCACTCACTCACTCACTCACTCACTCAC